ACAACAACAACGACGACGACGACGACGACGACGACGACGACGACGACGACGACGACGACGACGACGACGACGACGACGGCGGCGGCGGCGGCGACGGCGGCGGCGGCGGCGGCGGCGGCGGCGGCGGCGGCGGCGGCGGCGGCGGCGGCGGCGGCGGCGGCGAGGGCGGCGGCGGCGGCGAGGGCGGCGAGAGCGGCGGCAGCGGCGGCGGCGGCGACGAGGGCGGCGGCGGCGGCGAGGGCGGCGGCGGCGGCGAGGGCGGCGAGGGCGGCGGCGAGGGCGGCGGCGAGGGCGGCGGCGAGGGCGGCGGCGAGGGCGGCGGCGGCGGCGGAGGCGGCGGCGGCGGAGGCGGCGGCGAGGGCGGCGGCGGCGGCGGCGGCGGCGGCGGCGGCGGCGGCAGCAGCAGCAGCAGCAGCAGCAGCAGTACAAGAATTGTATATAATACCAACAAGATGAAATTAAGACACATGCACAACACCCGGGCATCACCATCGTAGACGTTTCGCCATCCAGCCAGCCACTGGATGGTGAAACGTCCACAACAAAGACAACCAGACGCCACACATGTGTCTTAATATCATCAGTAGTTGTAGTAGTAGTAGTAGAAGAAGAGGTAGTAGTAGTGGTAGTGGTAGAAGTGGGAAATAAGGATGACGAGCAAGTCAAAAACAAAGGAAGGGGAGCACTGCAAGAGAGCTAGATGCCCACAGAGGGAGAGCAAGCGCACAGAGGTGCGTGAAAGGGGAAGTGGTGAAATAAAATAAATGAAGAAGGAATAGAAACATGAGACAGGAGAGAGAAAGACAACCCAGAGGAGAAAAGGAAAGAGGAAAGGGGAAGAGGAAGAAGAAAAAGAAAGAAAAAATGAGGATTCAGGTTAAGTCACGGGTGTGTTCTGAAGTTTGGAGCATTTTACAATGTAGTGGGAGAGGAAGGCATCTACAGAGACAAAGCCAGGGCTAAGGTTCATACAAGGAAAGTTGTGTATTAGAGATGATTCAACTAGACGGCGACTATTCGAGTTGGAAGTAGGGAAGACAGTTTTAGCAGAAGACCAGTCAATAGGATGGCTATGATCTCTGACGTGACAGAAAAGAGCATTGTTAGTGTCGGCAAGCCTAACACTATTTTTGTGCTCCCTAAGTCCGTCAGAAAGAGATCGACCAGTTTCTCCGAAGTATTGAAGAGGACAGGAGGAGCAAGAAATAGAGTAGACACCAGGAACATCTGTAGAGGGAGGAGAGGTATGAACGAGATTAGTGCGAAGAGTGTTAGTCTGGCGGAAGGTTAAGCTTGATGTCTAAGGGACAGAGAGAATTGTTGAGATTAGAAAGACCGGAAATGTAGGGAAGGCAGAGGATAGAAGAGTTCCCATGAGTAGAGAGTTTGGGAGAGAAGAAATTGCGTTTAGCACGTGAGAGGGCAGAGTCTATGAAATGGGAAGGGTAGCCAAGACGGGAGAACGAATTATGAAGAGTGGAAATTTCTGCTGGAAGGAACTGAGTATCACAGATGCGGAGGGCACGGAGAAAGAGGGAGATAAGAACACTTTTCTTGACAGGGGAAGCATGATATGAAAAGTAGTGAATGTACATGCCACTGTGCATAGGTTTACGGTAAACGGAAAAGGAAAAACCTGTATCTGAGCGGTGGACATGGACATCAAGAAAAGGAAGCAAGGAATTAGATCCCATTCAGCTTTAAACTTAATGGAAGGGGCAAGATTATTAAGAGCTTCAAGAAAAGGTTGGAAGAGACTGGAGTCATGAGGCCACAGAGCAAAGATGTCATCCACATAGCGGAGCCAGAGTGAAGGTTGCACATCAAGGGTAGGAAGAAGAACAGTCTCGAAGTATTCCATGTAAAGATTAGCAAGGACAGGAGAGAGAGGAGAGCCCATAGCGACACCGAAGGTTTGAGAATAATATTTCCCTTGGAAGGAAAAGGAGTTAGAGTCCACACAGAGGCGGATCAGATCAAGAGAGACATCAGTGGGGATAGGGAGATGAAGAAACCCTTCATGGGCCTTCTCTCTAAGGAAATCAAGGACATCATCAAGAGGGACATTGGTGAAGAGGGACTCAACGTCAAGAGTAAGCATCTTACAGGCTGGGAGAGAGCGAACCCGTTCAATGAAGTCTTGAGAGTGACTGAGGTGGGCAGGAGAAAAAGTACCAAGAAAGGGAGTGAGGGTTTTGGCCAGCCAAGAAGCAAGAGAATAAGAGACAGAACCTCTAGAGGATATGATAGGACGAAGAGGAATATCAGGTTTATGAGTTTTGGGAAGGCCATAGAAATAGGGAAGAGAGGGACAGATGACACGAAACCGTTGAACAAGGTCAAAGTCAGGAGGACAGAGGTCGGGAGAGTCCACTTAGTTTTTTGTTGAAAGTTCTCTTGATGCGATCAAGAGGGTTGGAAACGAGAGGAGTGTAGGTGCGTGAGTCAGAGAGCAAGACATCAGCTTTACTGAGGTAATCCTCGCGATCAAGGATAACTACCGAATTACCTTTGTCAGAAGATAGTATGACAAGGTTAGTGTTGGATTTAAGAGAAGAAAGGGCAAGTTGGTAACGGCGTGGAAGGTGGTGAGTCTTGGGAAAAACAGACTAACAAGAGCAGGAAGAGAGAGCACCACGAAAAGTGGACAAGTCAGGAAGATTATGGAAGCGAGATTGACGAAAGGAATCAAAAGAGCTAATCAGGGAAATACCAGCGCGAGGAGTAGGCGAAGTGGCAAAGGAAAGACCAAAACCAAGAAGTTCAAGCTCATATTGAGAGAGTGAGACAGAAGACAGATTAGTAACACAGTCAGTGAGGGAGAATTTAGACCAAGGGCTAGCTGAGATGAGACGTTGAAGTTTATTTTGTAGTTTGGAAGAATGAACTTGTGCATTCAGGCGAGCAGTGTCAAAGGCAATGGTAGAGAGAAGGTTACAGAGATCCTGTGGTAGAGCCGCAAAGAGAGCACGTTGACGTTGACGGAAAGTAAAGAAGGCATCTTCAACTACTACTACTTAGACATCAAGCTTACCTTCCGCCAGACTAACACTCTTCGCACTAATCTCGTTCATACCTCTCCTCCCTCTACAGATGTTCCTGGTGTCTACTCTATTTCTTGCTCCTCCTGTCCTCTTCAATACTTCGGAGAAACTGGTCGATCTCTTTCTGACGGACTTAGGGAGCACAAAAATAGTGTTAGGCTTGCCGACACTAACAATGCTCTTTTCTGTCACGTCAGAGATCATAGCCATCCTATTGACTGGTCTTCTGCTAAAACTGTCTTCCCTACTTCCAACTCGAATAGTCGCCGTCTAGTTGAATCATCTCTAATACACAACTTTCCTTGTATGAACCTTAGCCCTGGCTTTGTCTCTGTAGATGCCTTCCTCTCCCACTACATTGTAAAATGCTCCAAACTTCAGAACACCCGTGACTTAACCTGAATCCTCATTTTTTCTTTCTTTTTCTTCTTCCTCTTCCCCTTTCCTCTTTCCTTTTCTCCTCTGGGTTGTCTCTCTCTCTCCTGTCTCGTGTTTCTGTTCCTTCATTTATTTTATTTCACCACTTCCCCTTTCACGCACCTCTGTGCGCTTGCTCTCCCTCTGTGGGCATCTAGCTCTCTTGCAGTGCTCCCCTTCCTTTGTTTTTGACTGGCTCGTCATCCTTATTTCCCACTTCTACCACTACCACTACTACTACCTCTTCTTCTTCTACTACTACTACAACTACTGATGATATTAAGACACATGTGCGGCGTCTGGTTGTCTTTGTTGTGGACGTTTCGCCATCCAGTGGCTGGCTGGATGGCGAAACGTCTACGATGGTGATGCCCGGGTGTTGTGCATGTGTCTTAATTTCATCTTGTCGGTATTATATACAATTCTTGTACTACTACTACTACTACTACTACCTCCACCTCTTCCTGCCTATATATAGCCGTCCTGCTCCACCTCTGTTAGTGTGACTTTGTCAATGGTCCAAGTCGGACCGAAACGTCGTCGTAAGCTTCTTTCTTTAATGTGCGGGTTATTTGTGTATCGTTCCAGTCACGGTATTGTGCCTTTTTGTTATTTATTTATTTAATAAATGAATACGTACATGCACAGAGATGTCCAACTTGTAAAAAAAAAAAAACTGGACATCTCTTTTATTCAGATAAGAAAAATAAAAAATCATTTTGGATATTTGGAAGAATTCTGATCAAGAAAATTCAAAGTATGTATTGGATATATACACTGTATATATCCAATACTAGTGTACAGTACTTTCTGATTCATTTTTATTTACAATACCTACATTGTTAAAAAACACCTCATCTCCTTAGCGTAACTAATAAAACCAGATTTCATCCAATTCTGTCCCTGTTCTTCCAGCCTTCGTTCCACTCCCATATATAAATGGTAACATATCTTGTCCCATTGCATTTCTATTTTAACTAAGTAACTTGCTGTATCTTCATCTCACTGAATCAGTTTGAAATAATATGTAATTCTTTTGTAATTGACCATTTGTCATTAGTTACCTTCATCATTGTACATATGACTGTAGTTAACTGCATAAGAAATCCTAGTTAATAGTCTGTGTCTAGCTCTTAAGTACATTTAAGTCTTATGATTAGTTGTCCAAAATGCATTGCAAAATTAGTGGCTTTCTTGTTTCTACCATTGTTTTATTACATGAAAACTACATTATTTGTACTGAATAAAGAAATAAAGAGTGTATTGTACTGTATTATACGGTATGTGGTGCTGTACTGTTTTACAGGTTACAGTATTCTTAAGTGCCCAGTAGTCTTCTAAACCAACAGAACATGTCCACATATTCCAAACTTTGTTCAAGCTCATTTATGTTATGATCATGAAAAGTAAATTTCATAATTTAGAATCTATAGACAAAAGGCAACAATATACACCCCTTTCCCAATTAATCAAGAATTCACTATATTTTCATCTTGCCTCAACCCCTACTCTAATGCTAACATATATTTGTTCACTTACTTGTCACGTTTGAACTGCTCATTTGCTTCAATATAACAGACATAGTCATCAGTATAGCATTCATCTATTGTAGGGACTCTGCGAAACTGGCGGTGATACCAGTAGTACTCAGGGCGATTTTTTGCTACTATCGTTTCTGTTAAAAAAAACATAATTAACAATTCTACACATGTATTATGCACAATTATTGTGAAATATGCACATGTGTAAGCAATACAGAAGTGTATATGAGCATGTGTAAGTAATATACGAGTGCATATGAGCATACAATAAGTAACATACGAGGGTACATGCATGTGTAAGTACAGGTCGGCCATCACTAATCAGGCATCACTGGGACCTGTAGTGTGCCAGATTAGTGAGTTTGCTGGATTACAGAGTGGTTAGGTTAGAATACACTTAATTACCCTATCAATAGAGACTCTTTCTGCTACCTCTTCCTCACTTTCATCACTGCTTTCTCCTCCACTGGCTTGCTGCTGTGGATTTAGAACCATCTGCACAATTTCTGAGTCAGTATAATGATGAAATCTGAGATTATACTATCCAAAATTAGTGCCAGATTACTGATGGAACCGGATAACTAATTGCAAGATTAGTGACGGCTGACCTGTAATATGCTAGTGGACTGTACTGTAGCAACATTTTTTAAAATTATTGAAACAGATATGTACTATAATTATTTAAGATTACAGAAACCCTAAAAAATGGAATGAAGTTTTACTTGTATAGTTTATAACACACATGTTTGTAGATACATCAGGCAGTTTTTTAAATTATGTGAGATATACAAGTGACTAATGAAAAAAATAAATGCTTTAGATTTACTACATTACATGTACTGATATCCTACATTAAATCTTTACAACATATATTTGCATACTGTATATACATGTATCTATATTGTCTACATAATATGTACTGAATGATACATTTTTTTTTTTAACACATCGGCCATTTCCCACTGAGGCAGGGTGCCCAAAAAGAAAGAAAAAACTTTCATTATCATTCAACACTTTCACCATCACTCATACATATCACTGTCTTTGCAGAGGCGCACAGATATGACAGTTTAGATGTCCCTCCAAACTGCCAATATCCCAAACCCCTCCTTTAAGGTGCAGGCATTGTACTTCCCATTTCCAAGACTTGAGTCCAGCTAACCGGTTTCCCTGAATCCCTTCACAAAATATTACCCTACTCACACCCCAACAGCTCGTCAGGTCCAAAAAACCATTCAACTCCATTAATTCCTATCTAACACACTCATGCACGCTTGCTGGAAGTCCAAGTCCCTTGCCCACAAAATCTCCTTTACCCCCTCCCTCCAACCTTTTCAAGGAAGACCCCTACCCCGCCTTCCTTCCCCTACAGATTTATACGCTCTCCAAGTCATTCTACTTTGTTCCATTCTCTCTAAATGACCGAACTACCTCAACAACCCCTCTTCAGCCCTCTGACTAATACTTTTAGTAACTCCACACCTCCTCCTAATTTCCATACTACAAATTCTCTGCATAATATTTGCACCACACATTGGCCTTAGATACGACATCGCCACTGCCTCAGCTGCCTCCTTGCTGCAGCATTTATAACCCGTGCTTCACACCCATATAAGAGTGATGGTACCACTATACTCTTACATATTCCCTTCTTCGCTTCCATGGATAACTTTTTTTTGTCTCCACAATACCTCAATGCACAACTCACTTTTTTTTCCTTCATCAATTCTACAAATATGTACAACATACAAATTTTATTATGTTGTGTAATAACAGCATAAATAAAGAAAAAAGCACTGAACTCTGGATGACTGATAAAATACAGTATTTCATTAGCTAACGCAGACACCAGGAGCAATTATTAGCACAAGGCAAAAGTAAATCAAACAGGCAGGAATATGAATTCACAAAAGTTGCAGGATTAACCAATAATGGGGTACATGATAAGAATTTAAAAATGCAGTGCAAAAGAGTAATAAGATCTGGTAGAAGCCAGAAGTGAATAAAAGAGAAGAATTAAAGGGGATAAGGTTGTTGGGACAGATAATAATAATAACTATTTCAAATCAATGTGTAAACATAAACAATAATTTAAAAGCCCATAGTATTCACAGCATTTTGGGAAAAACCAAGACTAAAATTATAACTACACAGTTTTTCTAATGGGTGTGGTACAACATAGTTATGAGTTAAAAACTACCAAGGTTAACATACAGGTTACAAGAATATTCACTGAAGAATAAAAAAAAACAATAATTCACAATTTGTAAAGAGTTAAGTTATGTATGAATATTATTAAGGACAATGATAATTCTAAGCAAGAACAATTCTTATTAAACAGCAATGTAAAAATGATGGAACATGAATACGATGACAATGAGAATATACAAGCTATGTTAAAGTGAAGGGATTGTAACATATGGCACAATATATGAAAGACAAATAGTAGAAATAAGAACAAGAGGATGAATAACAGCTGGAAACTCGAATCCCAATAAGGTAAGGAAGTGCTTTTTAACAATATCTTGGAGGTGAATGGCAGATAGGGAACCTTGGAAATCTCTTGGCAGTGTGTTCCAAATTTCAGGGAGTATCATAGTGGCATTTCTTTCTTGTATTATGCCTATGAGCTCTGCTACAACTTTTCAAAGAATAAGTTTCAGTCAAGATTAAGTCAGATGCTGAATGCAGACCTGACTACAGTCATTAAGTGATCAGTGAATTTATTAAATGCATGAATGAAAAAAGAAATTGCTTAAGGATTAGCAGAGAGAATGTATAATTACAGTACTCTGCATGAGAAAAAAAGTAAGAATTATAGGAACATAAGCCTGCTGAATAAAATGTACAGTAGAATTATTGAAAGAGTTAAAAGGGGTTATCCAAAGTAATTTACACACATGTTACTATGTATGTTAATTTTACTTATGTGGACCTGTGCCTAAATAAACTTACTAAAAAAGAGAAAGTAGGATTGCAGAGGAACAAGGAGGATTTAGAAAATAAGTTTCTTCAGGTACAGGTACACACAAATACAGTTACATAAATTATCATACATAATAGCATGTGTGTAGATTACCTAGGGTAGTCCCCCCCAAAAAAAAAGAAAAAAAAGAAAGTGACTTATTTACATTGGGGTTCTTGAAGGGAAGAGGATGTGTAGACCAAGTGTTTACAATTTATTTATTTATTTATTTAGAAATTTTAGCATACAAACAGAGGTACAAAAAATACAGGTAAGAGCAGCATGCCAAAGCCACTTATATGCATAGCATTACGGGCTGGCTTAAAATTAACTAAAGATTAACTAAGCAATGATGAAATCAGTGATAAGACATTATTGTAAACAGATAACTATAAAATACAAATGAGTATTACAAAGACAGGTCATATGGTTGCATGCATTGCTGTTCATTCAGTAGAATGGAGTATTGTGTTAGGTAGTGTATTTAAAAAAAATAACAAAGTTAGGTTTAACATTTGTGTGATATAATTGTGAGTAACATTTAGGATATAAAAATTTTATATGGTTCAGTTATTCAGTATTTATTTGGTTTTGAGTGAGTAAGTGAACTTTGAGAAGAGACTTGAATTTATAGACAGGTAGTGTTTCTTTTATATTTAGAGGTAATGAATTCCAGATTTTAGGGCCTTTTATGTGCATTGAGTTTTTTGCATAGTGTGAGATGGACATGGGGAACATCAAAGAGTGATCTGTGCCTTGTATTATGGTCATGTGTTCTTTTGAGGTTGACAAGGAGATGTTTGAGGGAGGGTTAATATCAGAGTTAAGTGTTCTATGTATGTAATAAGTGCAATAATAAGTATGGATGTTTTGTATGGTGAGTAGGTTAGTGTTTGAATATTGGTGAGTGTGCTGCCTGTAGTGAGAATTTGTTATCATTCTAACTGCAGCCTTTTGTTGGGTAATTAGTGGTCTGAGATGGTTAGTTGTTGTTGAGCCCCATGGACAAATTCCATAGGTGAGATAGGGTAAATAAGAGAGTGATAAAGGGCCAGGGGCTGACTGTGGAACATAGTACCGTATCTTCGATAGTACGTATGCCTACATCTTGGAAATTTTCTTAGAAATTTGTTGTAAATGTGTATGAAATTTGAGTCTATATCGAGGATGGATTCCTAAGAATTTTCCCTCTGTTAGCTTTGTGATGGGTGACCGTTTATCGTTATGTTAAGAGGTACATCTGTAGCTCTGCTACCAAACTAAAATGAAGTAGGTTTTGTCAATGTTTAGTGTAAGTTTGTTAGTCCTCATCCAGGTAGATATTTTCTGTAATTCGGTGTTTACAGTATTGGCTAGCGTGACTGGGCTCAGTGAGAGAAGACGTATGTGGTGTCATCTGCAAAAAGTGTGGGTTTTGAGTAATTGCGAAGCATTTGGTAGGTCATTTATGTATAGGAGAAAGAGAAGAGGGCCCAAGGACACTTCCCTGTGGGACACCAACTGTAATTGGTTGTGCGGAAGAGTTTTTCCCCATTTGCGTACACATATTGGCTTTTTTTGCTGAGGTAAGACTTGAGGTAGTTGAGGAGTGCCCTCTAATACCATAGTGTGACAATTTTACGTGGAGCAAGTCATGGTCAACTGTATCAAAAGCTTTACGTAAGTCAATGAAGATCCCCAGTGGGACTTCTTTTTTCTCTATTGCAGTGTATATATGTTCTAGCATGTGTATAATAGCATCATTAGTAATTTTTTTTAGGCCTGAATCCAAATTGCAGGGGTTGAGAATGTTATGGGAGATGAGGTAGGAGTAGATTCGTTTATGAATTAATTTTCGAAGATTTTTGAGAGAGGGTGTAAATTGGATATTGGCCTAATAGTTATTCAACTCTGTTTGGTCTCCTCCTTTATGGATCGGGGTGACCCTTGCTATTTTGAGAACTGTAGGGAAGGTGGAGGATTCAATGGATTTATTAAAGAGTGTTGCAATGATTGGTGATAGTACTTGTGATGCTTTTTTGTATATAAAGGGTGGTAAGGTATTTAAATCTCCTGCCTTGTTTTTCAGTGCATTGATAATAAGGGAGACTTCGTATGGGTTAGTCGGAGCTAGGAACAGTGTGTTCGGGTAGTTGCCAGTGAGGTAGTCATTTGGTGGGGTATCTGAGC